GAATGAATCGTGCCTGTTTGAAAATCCTTTAGAGATGACCTTCACATAAACCTCCTGAGCTCAAACCACCTTTTGCCAGCCTAGAGCAGCCATCGGGAGCATCAGTCATCAGAACTGACTTTCCTGTGGTGATATTAACCTCTGACCTTTCAATACCTAATCAGGATGCAGGGCTAAACCTACACAGCAACCAATGTAGCTGAGAAAGAAAGATAGAAAGCCAGGAAGAATAGCAGTGGGGATATCTGTAGCTTTAAGATGAAGGATTGACTCTCTGATGCAACTTCCTTTCCCATCTTGCCAAAGACAGAGTGTGATGTGGGTAAAGTGAGTCAATGAATAAGCCAATCAATAAATGAATGTCTGAATAATCGGACCAATGGATATATGGATATGCATATATGTGTACAAGGGGGGACCCTGGAAAGCTGAAATTTATTTATTAAAACTTGTATAGTTATTCTTACATGTTTATACTTCAGTCACCGTCAAAGAACTTTCCTTTTAACGCAATGTACCTATCAAGATGCTTTTTTCACGAATCAAAGCAGTTTTTGAACTCGTCAATTTCGATACCTTGTGCTTCTGCCATTTTTTGTTTCACCCTTTCCACATCAGCAAAACATTTTACCTTGAGAATTTTTTTCATTGGAGGAAATAAACACACAAAAAAAGGTCGCTTGAGGTGAAAACAGGTGAATAGGGAGAGTAGGGCCAGGGGGTCATGCCATTTCTGGTAAAAATTGCTGAATGCTCAGCACTGTGGAGGCAGGTATGCTCACAAATCACTTATCATGAAACACGCAAACGCATTGAAAGAACACCCCCCAAAATTTACTGAAGCCGATTGCAGCTTCTTACAACAACACGAGCTGGTACACTGATTCTGATGGGTTCCCAGAACACTTACCTAGCAGGGCAAACATGTTTTTTTTTTTTTTTACAAGGGTTGGCCCTCCAAAAAATAGTCCTGTTTTTTTTGGGGGGTCTCCCTTAGTGTATTTAGCAGGAAATATAACTCCATGTGATTTAGTGATGTTGTGGGAACCAATTTTGGAATCAGATTGATGCACTGAGACTGAAGACAAGTTGGAAGGAAGGAAGGGGGGAGGGAGGGAGGGAGGGGGAGGGAAAATAAAATAAAAAGAAAGAAAGAAATTCATTCGCCTCCTTGTTTTCCGTCTTTACCCTGCTGTCTCCCAGGAGAAAAATAATCGGAGAACATAGGGCAGCTCTGAAGTAAAAGCCAGCTAAGAGACTCCAGGTTTGATTAAGCAATCATCTCCCCTCCTGTCCCTTATACTGGGCTCAAAGCTAGGGCTGTGATGTCTGTTAAGTACGGATATACTGTATATCCGTACTTAACAGATCTCTTTCTCTTTCTTTCAGTGGTGGATTGCTATGAAATACTAGGGATAATATGCACCCAATGTCCTAATATGGAACAGTAACACGACATCCATGACTATAGCTTAAAGAGAGTTTGCTCGTTCTCTTCTTATAAGCATCAGGGGCATTTCAAACTGTCTGTCTTTATTTCTTCCTCTACAATATTTAGTTATTGAGTGATAACTTTTTTTGGTTATTCTATCAGCATCCGTCCGCAATGGCAACAAAAGTTTTGAGTTATTTTTGCAATATTATTATCTTGACCAATATGAATCATGTCTTTTTAGACAGTAAGGAAAATGTAATTATAGCTCAATAAAACACTGGGAGCTTGTGGGTGACCAATAGGCTGGCTTTAGGAAACAGTCTTAAGATGAGTCAGAATGTTGGCGCAACATTTCGTTTTTTTTTTTCTTTTTTAGAGTTGGAGAATCCTTTAGCGATTGTTGAAGCCACACCCTCTTTCCCTTCCTCTTTCTCCTCTAACATGTTGGAACTGAGGTACAGGGAGATAAAGTAGTGTGCCAAGTGGTGCACAGAGTTCGTGTTGGAGAAGGATTAACACAGGGTGCCTGGGAGGCCAGTTCTGTCCCCTTTCCAGACCAACCATGCCAGTGGCCATGGTCCTGCTTCCTAGTGCTAGCAATAGTGGTTGCTTTCAAGGCACGCGTGAAAGAAGTTCGGCGCCAGTAATGACTCCACACCCGGCCAGAACCAAGAGATTTACTAAAGTGGCGGTTACAAGGAAAAAGGGAAAGGCGGTGGAGAGAGAGAGAGGAAGTGGGAGAGAGGCGGGGCGAGAGCTGCAGAGAGGGAGAGAGCGACAGAGAGAGACAGAAACAGAGACCGAGAGAGAGAGAAAGAGAGACGGAGAGAGAGAGAGAGAAACAGAGACCGAGAGAGCAAGAAACAGAGACCGAGAAAGAGAGACGAAAGAGAGCGAGTTGCGGTGAGAGGGCTGTATTTATCAGCCCGACAGGGGCCGGAAGGGGCTAGGCTATGCTCCTATTGGAGGAGCTGCATGGGAGTAGGGCGGGGCCGATGCCGTGTTATGGTCCTATTGGACGCATAACAAAGCTGGGTGCTGATTGGAGGCTTGCAGGTTTGAAATTGGCGCGCAGGGGAAGTTTGAAATCGACGCGCGTGCTGGAAGGTTTGAAATTGACGCCGCGCCGGGAGGTTTGAAATTGGCGCGCGAGGGGAATTGTGCTCGCAGAGGCGGCCACCGAGGGCCTTTGTTGTCCGGTGTGTCGGCACCATTTGGGGAGCCGCCCCTCTGGTCGCTTCCTGCACCTTTCAACGTGTGCATCAGCTGCCTCACAGGTGCATCTTGGGTCATAGCTTCACTTTCTCGATCTTAGTTTTCCCATCTGTAAACCTAAGAGGATGGGGCGGGGGAGAAACCACATGATTTCTGTGTGAGCTTCCTCTTCGGCTCGGAGAATCTATGAAGAGTAATGATGTAATTATGTGGGCCAGATTCTCAGATGACAAAAGCTTTTCAAGTCTTTCTGTTTCCTCTTCTGCTGTCTTTAGGAGGATGTTCAGAATTCAACTGCATGTCCAATTGCAGTAAATGTTTTAGCTGATGTTTATTACCACAGAGTGTCTGATCCATCCCAGATAGTGCCTTGCAACTTTGTGTTTTTGATTTCTTTTCCATATTACCAGCTGGTATTGCTGATACCGGTGTCCTGTTTTTCTTGTCATTGTTATTTTTTTAACTGATTGTAAAACTGAATCTCAGGAAAGGGAAGTGATTTTTTCCAAGCTTGTTGCTTAAAGAAATAGGTTTCAAGTACAGATACGTCCAGTTCTAAAACCCAAACGTCTCTCCTCTCTCATCGCCTTCCACTCTTTCCTGTTTTAGGCAAAACATGTCCTTCCGCCATGATTTAAATGTCCCCATCTCTGCGTGCTCTTTTATTGTAAACCTTTCCTAATATTTTGGGCAAATAGAGAGGAAATGGAGAAAGACATTAGAATTACAATTAAGTTCATTGTATGGACAGTGTGGATCACATAATCGCAATCCTGTCCTCTAAAAAAATCATCCATTCTTGTGTTTCTCATATGAGGAAGTGTGTGGTTGTAGTTGGACATGCAAGCTTTGGAGTCAAAGACCCTCAGCTCAAATCCTTGCTTAGTCATTTATTAACTGATCTTGGGTGAGCCGCCTCATTCTCCCCATTCACATTTTTCTCATTTTTGCCATGGTGGCATCGACTCCTTTCCAATTTAGATATTGCCCATTTTAACCGTGGTCATGGGATTTAATGCTTAGCATAAAGCCTATGGCATAAGGGCTCCACATATGTAGCTCTGAAGATTATAGACCCCCATATTAACTCTGGTGGAGCTCCACGAGGAAGATCATTTCTCTGGTTGTACTCTTTTTTTTAAAATGTTTTTGAATTGGAGTCTCACTCTGTCACCCAGACTGGAGTGCAGTGGCCGCTCCCGGCCACCGCAGCCTCGACCCGCTGGGCTCCGGCGATCCTCCCGCCTCAGCCTTCCGAGCAGCCAGAATTACAGGCGCGCACTACCACGCCCGGCTGATTTTTTGATTTATTGTAGAGATGAGGTCTCGAACCCGTTGGCTCGGGCAATCCACTCACCTCAGCTTCCCAAAGGCACGGGATGACAGGTTGAGCCACCGAGCCCAGCCTTGGCTCGTTTTTGATTGATTGTAGAGACGAGGTCTCGCCAAGTTGCCCAGGCGGGTCTCGAACCCGC